CTGCCTGCAAACACCACACCCTTTTCTAGTTCACATTTCAGAGTCCTTTGGAGGGAGACCACTGTGCAAAACCAACAAATATTTCATTCCTAAAGGCCCTCACATGCCTGGGGTGAGGTGCAATGATTATACCTCTGCCAGCACTGCCTGATGGCGGCTGGGGCTGCCCAGGGGTGCAACGGCCAGGGAGAGGCACGGGCAGGGACGCAGCTTCAGCACTGCAGGAGCAACTCGGCGTCCTACAACAAAGTTCTGCAGGGCAAAGCTTTGTGCTTGGACTGTGTCCATCTGAGAGGGGTTAGTCCTCAACTGCCTGTTTAGCAAAATCGGTCTTTATGTTCTGCCTGCAAAGCCCCACCAAAGCATTCCCAGCACCCAGCCAGCCATTTCCTTGGCTGACTTAAAGCCAACCTGAGCGCCTGCATAGGAACCTCTGAATCCCCCCTGCTTCTCTGTAGGGCAAAGCTTAAAAGTAATTACGTACTTAAGTAACTGCATAGATTTTTCTTAAACTATGTAGCCAAAGGCTGCAGACAGAGATGGATTCCCAGGGGCCAGGGAGTTGCTGGCTGCATCTACTCTGCCCAAGCTGCATTGCTGACTGCCATCCTTAGATAGAAACCCAGCAGACAGTGATGTCTCCCAAGCTGACAACAACGTAGAGGGAACAGAAAATAAAATACCAATGGCTCAAGTGAATTCCATCAACCCTCCCTCCCAAATACAACAAAAACCCCATGTGAATATTTGCTGGGCAGCCAAGTCCTGAGCTGGTGATCAGAGGTTGGTTCTCATGAAACGAGGCTATTGACTTCTGTGGAAAACGACTGCTCCAGGAAAATTCAAGATGAGACATCACACTTGGCCTTTCCTAGGCACTTGAGCAACTCACCAGAAGAGCATTCAGATACTTTCTCAACCTATTTTGCTTCCTACAGAAGGAAGGAGGAAGTGCTACAGCCAGCTCCTGGCATACGTGTGCTGTTTTCTTCTCATCTGCTGTGAAAGCAAATTGACCTCAGCTGTTTGCTGCAATAAATCTTCTCCCATTTTCCCCTTCCTTCATTCTTTTCTGTTTAAAGTTATTTTTACATTAGACTTAAATACATTATACTCATTTTTCTAGGAGCCCTGACACGTTGTTAAATGACCATGAATCTATTTTAGTTGCACCTTAATTTATTAACTCCACTGCCTGCCTCCAGTGTTGGTGCCTCTATTGTAGGATCATAGGAGGTTTGGGTTGATTATCCTCCTAACTATTTCATATGCAGAGCCATTATTTCACTCTGCTCCACGCTATTATAATAAAGCAAAAAGCTCTCATTTTTTCATTTCAGCTCACATTGGGGGACTACATACCTTATTAGTTTCTAAGTTCTTATATTCTGCGTGTTGTGTAGTGCAGTCAGAATACAGATGTGTTCTGCCCTTAAAAGCTGCTTTGCAGAACACAGCGATGGAGACAACCTGAAGGGAAAGCATTTCTCCATCCATTTTTTTTAAATCATGTGAACCAGTGATTTTTAGCTCCTCTGGCTCCTTTCCCTATTGATGCCACCATGCTGTCACCCCATGTCCTTAGAGACATGTAATTTTCAGCCTGCCCACCACAGGGATATTGGTATCAATTTCTAGCTGCCACTTGGTCTCCAAAACGCTTCTAACCCCACAGTGGGCCTCAGCACCTGCTGCTCTACAAAGCCTCAGTGAGCAAACAAGCATCTCCACCTGCCAGCTCCCAGCCACCAGCCATGCCTGGAACAGGATGTCCCCAGCCCATCAACCAGGACTGGTCCCATGAAGGCCCAAAGCTGGTCCTGTCCCACTCCCCAGGTGTTTTGCCCTCCCTAAAAGAGCAGCCATGGTTTCTCCAAAGAAAATAATCTTGCCCCTTTTCAGCAGCTCCATTTGCACACTGATTTTTCTTTGCCTTGATCAGCCAGTTTCACTCGAGCTGCTCTTCACTCTTTGACTCCCACCGCTGTTTGCAGCCCTACCAAATTTGCTAAGTGGACTCAAGTGGCCACAAGTGTCTGATTAGCACTCGGTGGCCCCTGGGCAGCCTCGTGCCACCCAGGGGTGAGTGACCTCAGCTACGCCAGGATCGGAGCACAAGGCAGCACGTGCACTGCAACACCCCAGGGCTGCCTGCAAAGAGCAGCCCCTCCTGCGTGCCGGAGCAGCTATTGATTTTTCCTGCTGTTCTCGGGGGAACTCACAAGAAGAAAATGATTTTCTTTTAAGTTCAGGCGCAGGAGTCTGCCTTGCTAAAGGGCTTATCTTCACACAGAAGTTTTACCGATTCGGCTTGAGTTGCATAATTAAAGTCGTGCAACCCCCCATAGTGTGGAAAATCCTATAAAAATGCTTTATATGGAGATAGCTGCATGAATTTAAAGCACTCTCCTACCAGTATAAATACCACCCTCCATGAGAGCCGCTACAAATATAGTTACTGTCCAAAAGCATACATCAAGGAATTTTACAACTCTTCTGTGATGTATGTCACTGTACGGCACTGAGCAGCGTGTGGAGCTCAAACCTTCCAAACACTGAGAGCAGATGAATCTTTAAAATCTCAGGAGGAAAAAAAAAGATCTATATTTTATATCATATATTTATATTTTATATTGAGCGTTAATTTAAGTGCCAGTTATTTCTCCTTGGATTTCTAGCTCCAGTTCAAATGGGTTCCAATATATTCATTACCATTCAGTCTGTTTATTTAGCATTAGAGCTGGCTGAACTATTCATTACTCATTTAGCCTAGTTATTTATTTTTATTTATTTATGGTAAGTGAATCTTCACCAAATAAATCCTAGCTCTCCTCCTGCAGTGTTCAGACTAGCAGCATTCCCTGGAGACTTTGGGAGAATGATTATTCAGACCCATGGTCTATTCACATGTATCAATTCCCCATTTATTCTCTGGGGTGTGTACCTGAATGCCTGAGCATTCATGATGCCTCCCAGGAGTTCCTGCAAACCTGTTTCTGGGACCAAACATTATTTCCCAAGGAGTTGTGCTAACCCAAACAAGCAAACAAACAAAAAATAATTAAAAAAAAAAATTGCAATCCTCCCTCTGATACCCTGCCTGAGCACTCCAGCCATCAGTGTAACACGATGCCGTGTGTTTCTAGTGAATGGCAACAAGTAGCTCTCGTCCACAGCAAGCCTGGCTAATCCACATCACTAACGTAGATTCTCATTCGCATGCTCAAGCTCATTCTCTCCTTGCATGTTTCCAAGATAAAAGAGCAGAATATTTTGCTGAGATTGTAAATATCTTAGTAACAGTGGGCAATATCTCAGATTGCCTCCCAGTACACACTAGCAAGGATATAAATAACTGAACCTTTGCCATCATTACTGAAAGAAAAAAAAAAAAAAAAGGACCAGAGAACATCATGTGCCACAGCATCCTTATTTTCTGGAGCTGACTGTTCACTCCTCCAGAGTTCACTGCCTCAGTCTGCTCTGGTCTGCATTATATATTGCCATGTTTATTTTCAACCACTTTAAAAGGCGCTGCTGGATGGATGCTTGCACACACCACTCAGCAAGATTTGAGAGGGCAGCCAGGTACAAGCTACAGTTCATTCCTCTAACAAACTGCCCTGCATGCTGTGCTCGTTCTGCAGGAGGTTAGAACACTTCCTAGGGCATTACTTTCTCCTGTGCCACATGCCCAGCTCTTAATGCCCTAACACAGCAAGAACAGACAATGCTGCTGACCCTAAAAGCTCCCTGCACACCTCTTACACACCAGCTTGTGAAGCATACTTCCCAGAGAACCACAGGGAAGCTCTCAAGCTGTCATCTCTGTGAAAAGGAGATTCCCACAGCGATCCTGGTGCTTTTTGCTGCAGATAGAACAGCACTGAACACAGGGTGAAGGAGACCACCAACCTTGCCCACAGCAGCCCTTGCTGCTTTGCTTCCCCTCAAAATGGCAGTTCAGATTTCCCAGCAGCAGTGGGTTTTTTTCACTTTCAGTTTCTCTCTTTCAGCACTACCTATATATTCCATTTTTCACCCCTGCTATAACCAAGAAAAAACAAAGGGAACATCAGCATCTGACATCAAGAGTAGAAATCCTGCCCATCTTTCAATTCCTGCCTTAGCGGAAGGGAAATGTTCTCAAAACATGGCTTTGGGCAGGAGGGCATTCTCAGCGCTAGGCGTACTCTGTGCAGAGGTTCTCATTGCCTGGAGTCATCCTCAAAACTCCTCCTCATTGATTCAGTCCCTGACCTTTCAGTGAACCAACTCACAAATTTAAAAACACCAAAGACTTGAATATGCTTAACACAATAATGAGCACTTTCCCCAGCTGTTATCACAGTGAAATCTTTTCAATTTATTTACCCCCAACTCATTCCTTTAGCCGGCCACCGAAAAGCCAAGAGTGTTCAGCTTCCACCCTGGGGAAGTGTTCAGCTTCCACCATGGGTTAATTCGAGATCTTCCAACAGATAATCTCAGGCTGTTTTGTTCCATGCCAGTCCTAATCTGTTTTATCACATACTCCGCGAGCTCTGCCAAAGTTTCCAGCTGGACCCTTCAACCTGTCACTCACCAGATCTGCTGCAGGCCCAAATGTCTTCTAGATCCTTCAGTTAAAGTCTGCCTCTCTGAAATACGCCACGTTAGCAGAGCAGTACTGAGACATCTTCAATACACTGACCCAGACCGTCCTCCATGTTCCCCAACCACCACCAAGCATGTGAAGTGCACCAAGGCTACCACCCTGAGAAACAGCACCTCTGGCTGGCTGGCTTTCCAGAGGTGCTCTGCACATAAAACTGCAGAGAGAAATACTGTTCAGTCCTTTTCCAGCTGTCTTCAAGACTTAGCAGAGCCTTTGGCAACTCTATTCCTCCATTCAGACTATTATCTTTCCTTTATGGCACCATACACTTGTTCAACATTTACTTATGGCCCAACATATTCGAAAATTACTCATGCCCCAGCGATGGCCACTCTGCACTCACCCATCACAGGCGTCCTGCAGAGCAGGCCCGGAGGCGCGCCTCGGTTGTTTTTCTAGGAACTCCGTGCATTCACATTCTGATGGAGGTCCTGTGGGAAAAAAATGCAAAACTATTAAAATCTGAAATTATAAAAGCCAAAATAAACTAGCTTTTGTTCTAAAAATCACCTTCTTTTCCTTATTCTTTACTTTAAAATAATGGGAAATGGCTTGTCATGCTTACAGACTGCATTACTCAACAAGGTGCTGAGAGTTTCCACCTGCAGTAAAAGCCTGATGGGTCTATGGCAGATACCTCCACTTGCACTCTCCAAATCACATGCTTTAGCTCACAGGCTGCAGCGTTAAGGCAGAGCTGTGAGTCATCTCCTGAAGACTTTCACGAAACGGTTGAACTCGCCTGTTGATCATCTTGAACTCAAAGCCATGGCTCTGGGGTCGGTCCTCCCCTTCTCCTAACCAGCGCATGGCTGGGACACAGTGACTCATGGTGAAGTCAAGAGGGTTCAGTCCACCACTTTTCCTTTGGTAGGAAATGATTCAAGACTTCCTGCTACTTTTTGTGTACTTTTTAAAAGCACGTCTTTTAACACTGGCTTTTATAGTGATGCTTCCAATCCTCTTCACCCCACAGGGTTTCAGATCATAGATGGTCAGGGTTAAGCACTGAGCAAAGCAATTCTGGCCATCAAAGGACAGAGTGAGAACATGCTTTGTCAGAAAACAGCGATGTTCAGAAAGGCTCTCACAGCATTCACGAGCATGTAACGCTTCCCTGCTTCAATCTGCTGCTGCCTGTGGTGCCCAGGGATGGGCACTGGGGATTAAGAGAAGGGAAAGGTTCCGAGTCCTTTTCATTTCCCCCACATAGCTTCACTGTGCATGTTTTGGGTGACCTCTTCACCAGTGCCACAATTAAATAAATCCAGTATCTTTATGCTATCTGCCTATCCAATGTGATTACCCAAGGCTTGCTGTCCTAAGGACACCGTGTCAAGCATATTAGGTCTGGCAACTGGCTCTAGTGCCACTCTCACCTTTTGTCCTCCGCGACATAGGGTCTCCCCTCCCCCAAAGCATCTCTGAGAAATTCCTGCTTGCTTTGATCCCATCAGAAAACAACCTGGTACATTCTTCTATAGAAATACATGGAGACCCATGTCTGCTAGGAACAACATGCTGACCCTCTAATACAGCCAAGCTGAAGAGCTTACATAGCTTTACAGACATGTCAAAGATCTTCTCAGAGTAACAAAGGACCCCAAGATGAGCAATTTTAGTGAGGAAAGCATGATATTTATTTGCAGGCAACCTCTTCCTGAAGAAAAAAAAAGAGAGAGAAAAAAAAAAAATCTAATTTCAGATTGCATTTGCCAGATGTAACTTTGGTATAAAGTTGAATTCAGTTTTGTCTAAAAGACGAGCCTTCAAGATTCATACAAATCTTTGTGTCCTCCTAACACAGCAGTAAAACTCCAAGCAAATTCACAGTCTCTCCAACCTCAGGATTCCTTAGCAAGAGGAGAAGTTTTTTATTTTGATTTTTCAGTTTCATCTGTAACTTGAGAAGGACAAAAGTCTCTTGCTGCACACAGTGACCAGGTCACAGATGGGCCTTTGTTTGTGGCAGGGGATGCTGGAGGGGCTTTGCAAAAGGCCCAAAGTCTTGAATAATGCAGGAAGTGAGAAATTATTTAAACAAAAATAGTTTCTGTCTAAGCCTTCTTACAGATCCTTACTATCCATGTTGTGTAAAGAAACTAATTCTAGTTGAGCAGAAGTTTTGCCATGCTTCTCATCATAAGGCCCAACAATGGCACAATTCAAGTGCATACAAGTGAATGTCATGATCCCTTTATTTCCCGGGGCAGCTGTAATCACTGCTCGAAGAGGCTCACAAAGGAGGGCAATGCATATCCACCTTCCCACAGCAATAATACTGGGTACTTGCAATTAACTAATTGGCAGAAGAACAGGCTGAGATTTTGGTATTGCTAAATCAAAATCTGGCTTGACTTGTACTGACCTGGAGACATTCCCAAGAATTTCCTCCACTCCAGTTAAAGCTCTACAGAATTAATTTCACTTTTGGATGTCATATCCTTTATTTCTTCCCATTAAATAATCTGCTTCCAAATTATCTGCCATCCTAGTCCGGGAAATGCTTTGAGAGACAACTGTCACAAACTGCTTACAGACTGCCACGTACACTGCATCATACAGGGCATCTGCTTTGTTTTGGTTTTTAAAGGCTCATTAATGTCCTTCTCTCCATTTATCATATACACCCACATGCATCTCCCCTTACAGGAATACAAAGACTAAGAGATACTTTGTTCATGTGCATGAAGCTGCAATCTCTAGCATCAAGAATTACTTTCCTACATCTGTTTTTCCTTCAGGCTTTGTGTAGCTCATCAGTGCATTCTGGAATGACAACCCTACATGCAGTTCCAGTCTTGATAAAAAGAACTGGTTAAACTTCAGTAGTGATTTTGGCTGTACTACTGAGTCACTGAAAGAAAAGAGGGTTTGTGATTAGAAGAAATGTTAACACTCATGAGATCTGGCTTCAGCTCCTGACCCTGCCTGGCTTGTGAACAGGCTGAACCTTCTTCCTGCCAAAGCCTTTGCTGAAGGTGCCTGCTTTGTTGCAGAAGCTGCAGACACTGGCAATGTCAATACAGCCCCTGTAGCAAGAAGCTTCTCAGAAAGAAATGTACATCAATTCAAATAATCCTAAATGCAAGGCTTAGAAGGAACGACCAGGATCTAGGCTTCAAGCAGCTTTAAATTGCTGCTACTCCCATTAATATCTTCCAGTCTGCGGGAAGGCTGACCTCTTTATTGGTTTGGTGGTCGTGGGGAAATGTTATTCTGAGGTTTACAAAATATACAGGCAAAGGAAACTGGTGCAAAGGAGGGCTGGGGATCCCAGCTACCAGGGAGATCTGATAGGGCAAATCTGATTAGCACCATGACCAAAATGCTGACCTCTGCCCCGGCCCTTGTATCCATTACCCATACAAGCATCTGCAGCATCACTGAGAGGACCTCCCACTTCTTGCCCTGGTTTTGGTTTGCAGCTTTTTATTCTCAGTGTCTGAGGCCCATCTTTCTTACTGGATGCTGACAGTGATAAGGAACAATGTTCTTGGCATCTCATCAGCTGTTGTACCACAGTAAAAATACGTTTGATCACACCCACCGCTCCTCCAGGGAGGCTGCTGCTGCATCATTTTTGCCTTACTGAACGTCCAGTTGAAGAACATGGGATTACACGACTGTGCTCAGCAAATCCTGTTGACAGCCACTCGCAGAGGTTCAGACCTCTCTCCCCAGGATGCCACCACAAGCCATCGTGTCCTTGTGCTGGAAAAGTCTCCAGTGCAAGGCAGAGAAATGATGAGAAAGAGCAAAATCTGTCCTTTGGAAATCCTGAGGCTTCAAAATTTGGCTTTGACTTGAAACATAAGAGACATTGGTGAAACAGAGATCAAGAAGATGACAACATGATGACAAGGTCACATGTATTTTAGAGAATTTTAATGCTTTCCTTTTGAATCCTATCTGACATGTGGTGAACTCTAAAACATTGGCAACGCTGCAGTCTAAAGCTCGCCAGTCCATCCCAGATCCATAGGCGGGACTTGGCTGGAGGTTTTGGGAAGGGCTGCAGGATGGTGGCCAAGTGATAGAAACACCTAACCAGCCACGTCTGAAGGACGTCTCCCAGCCCTTCAGATGGATGTCTGATTACGTGACAGGGAAAAGCGCTGCTTAAAGCTCTCAGCTACTCAAGGATGAGCAGCCAAGACTACACCAACAAAAGAGAAATCGCCACGCACTTCATTTGGCTGCTGTTCTCTATGGCAGGTGACTTGATCCAGGCAAAGATTAATCTGAGAAGTCTTTGATCTCATGTACTGTGTGATGAATTAGGTGAATAGAGGGGTACCTCTAGTTTCACTTGGAAAAAAAGTGAGCCTCTCAGAGAAATACACTGAAACTGAAAGCTGCAATCCCAATTCAAAGTTTGAACATTTCCTGTCCAGTCACAGTCCTTAGCTAAGTCACACTTGCATCCTACAGCAAACCAACAAAATTCAACTCTTCCTTTGCTTTACACGCCCTTCAGGTTGTTTCCATTCCTGTAATTTGTCGTGCCTGTATCATCCATGTCTGTACCTTAAATACAAATAGGGAGCTAGAATTAGTGAGTTTTAGCTAATGACTTTAATTGGTGTTGAATAGCTGGCTTTGAAAAGCCTCCTTTTTGACCTCTACCCAGAGAGCTGAAGTGTTTATTATGGAGCTTAGCTGCAGTTTTGCAGAGCCTTGAATGAGCATTATATTCCTAGGTGCTGCTTCTCAGCAGCATCCCTAAAGGACACGCCCCTGTGAGCAGGACACCAGCATTATGGTGCCTGCACACCGAGACCAACGGCACCTACATGTCATTGACCTCTGAGACAAGGACTTCACCTGCTACGACCAGAAGCAGGCAGGACGGTGGGTAAAGCTACCCCCTGTTCGATGTCAGGGTAACCACACAAATCGTTCCGTGCATCCAGGACTGGTCATGAGTAGGGGATGAAGAGTGGGAGACCTGTGAGACCCCAATGCAACTACAAACAAAAAACAGGATAGTGAAAATACGCTACATCTTCTGTTCACTCACTAACACAGGCAGAAATGTCAAAACCACCTAAAAAGATACGTTCTGCAAAACCTTCAGGTGATATCCAGCGTCCAGCAGGTGACTTGTAGCTGCCTCAGGTGATGAACGCGCAGCCATGAGGCTCTCGAAGCGTTTGAGGTGGCAGCACTGTAACGCAGCACAAAGCCACAACACGCCGTGTAGGTGAATGCTTTGCAGAGGAGCGAAGCCGTGTTTGATAAACAGCAGCTCTGACAGACAATCCCATCACAACTGGGGCTTAGAGGTTTGTTTCAAAATGAGACTCAGAGCCATAACACAAAAAAAAACCCACAACCTCTGAGTAATAGCACTTTGCAGGATGATATGAGGAAGAATTGCTTTATTAACAAATAAAAAAATAAGAGAACAGCAGCTCAGCCAGATGTT